TAAAAAACATGCTTCAGAAAGAGATGATATTTCCTGCTTAAAGTTGCACCATGCTAGCATCCTCTTAAAGGAGCATGCTGAAACACTCAAAGACAGAACAAAGTGTGGACTCAAAATAATACCCATGAAAAAGGACGGGTCACAGTCAAGTTGTTGCCAAATTTTGCACACCTTTTAGATTAGATACAGGACCAAATAAATTACATTTAAAGATGAACTGGAGAAGGAACTAAAACACCAGTAATAAGTAGGGTTTGTTTTATGGGAGGGAGGATTTCACTGTCATTAAATCATGTATGGTCTTATTTTGTTGATTAGAATGGCAATGACATCAAATAACTTCATACTGTGTAAGAGAAAATTTAGATGATATCTATGTAAAAATTGTGGGAGTAACTAAAAGGAGGAAAAACAGAGGGAGGGAAAAATGGAAGGAAGAATCTTTATGTACCACAGGAGGGTGGGGGAAGAGATGTGTAGAGTACCCAAGACACAATGAAAATTAATCTAAAAATATTAACAAAAATGTAAAATAATAATAAAGAAAAATATTTGGTAGAGAAAAAACAGAAAATGAAATACAGAAATTAGTACAAATATATTAGCAATCACAAGAAATGATGAATTTCAATTCACACATTAAAAGGCAGAAACCAACAGATTAGCATTTTTGGCTTTGTATTTCATTAAAAAAAAGATGCACTGCAAATAGAGAGAGACAGCTGTCCCTTGGAATAGTCCTCCTTTCCATAGCATGGGAATGACGCTAAGAGGCTGATGGACAGGAACTGCATGTCCAATCTGCTTTCAGACCAAGCTGGGCTTCAAGGTTTCTACTAACAGCCTTGGAGTAGGAGAGTGTAATCTGAGCTATTCCTCATATGAACTGGGTTCCTCATATTCTCTCCCTTCTGCCACAAAATGAATGTAGAGCATAATGAGCTCCAGGGGGTCAATAGAGCTACTAGATGAAAGGAACTTTGATACATTACTCACCAAATGGACAAAAGCTATCTGCCAATCAGAGAGACTTATGTGGATCTATGTCATAACTGAAAGACATTTGGGAAAACCATTCTCTGCCCCAACTTGACAGGTAAATCTTAATGTCTCCTGGGCCTGGAGCTCTGGGGAACAGCTAGAACATGCGTTGGCTTCTCCCTGACTTTATCAGGAAAGAGACGTATTCAGAAAAGAACTGTCTAGTTTGTAAGCAAAAACAAAGTTAGGACATTATAGAGTTGAAAAAGCAAATAGAGTCAGGAGCCAAAGCAGCATAAAATAAGCAGGAGAGACAATCACCCATTATGATTTTGGAGTTAATTCAAATAATTCAGCCCAGTAGCATATATCAGATTAATGATGCTACTTTCCAATCCAAGCCCATTATTCTAGAAAGCCTCATGGTAGCTGCTATTGAGTTGATATGGGGGGAAGGGAGGGGAGAGAGAGAGCGAGTACTTGAGAACCCTGCCTATGGTGACTACCCATGAACTGAGAACCAACAGATCTGACTCCCACTAAGATTACTAAGGAATTGTACTGAAGAAAAAATAATCAGGCTTAACCTTAGAAGTCTACAATTACTAAAAATAAAAATTTCCAAGCTCCCAACATGTACCAGCAGAAAGAGGGTGCAAAGGCTATGACAGTCCTAGAATGGTCTGCTTGTGAAGACTCAATTCAGATGGGACCAGGGAGGGTAAGAGGATGCCTCTCCTGGATTGCAGACAAGGTTGCTCTTACGGCTGGGCCCCTCACTTGCCCAGTAGGATTATGTCATTGATGCCACAGGAGCAGTGTGTTTCTCCTTCTCTTTTGAACACACAGATGTTGCTACTAACATTCTGCCTCTACTCCACTTCTGATGCACGTGGCAGCAGTGGGCTGGGAGGCATGGACAAGCTGCCTTTTGTCATGTCACAGCACCATCAGGAACCACATGTGAGCCTGAAGAAGAACCCAGACTTCCCACAGAAGTAAGTAGCTGAATGGGACTTTGAGACTCTCTGCCTTTGGGAAAAGAGTGAATGTACTCTCTCTGTGGGAAGAAGGAAACACAAAGTATTTGGAAGATAGATGTGAAGACTGTAACAGAGACTGCCGGCTGTTCACCAAATCCCTGTGCCTTGTTTTCCAGGTTACTCAACTAGATTCATTACCCAGTTTCCCTTACAATTAGGCACAGCCATGAAACTTAGTGCCAGCCAGCAGAATATAAATATAAGTGAGGTGCACCCTAAAGGCCTGATCCGTAAAACGCAAGCCAACCCCAGAAACTCCCCACAGTCCCACTCTGGCCTCCTGTCACTGTGAATCCAACAGGCACTGCTACATGAGCTAGAAAAAAATTAGCACTGTGTTAAGCTATTAAAATATGGGGAAATATCTGTTCTAGCAATTAGCATTGTCTATCTAACCACATGAATAAAACAAGCACAGAAATGGTCAAGATAAAGGAGAGAAAGAAAAATGGGAATTTTTAAAAGCAGAATAATTAATGTAGGACAGTGTGTAATGACAGAAAGAATTAGGCAAGAAGAAATGACAATAATGAACTTGCATATGTTAAACAGCGTAACCTTAAAGCATAGATGAATCTGACCACCAAAGAAGGGTTTAACCATTTATATTAGAAATGGAAAGATGAAGTAGACAAAATAGAATATTTAGAACAAATAGTTAACAGACTTCATTTAAAAGAACTACAGATCCTACACAAAGAAAATATGCATTTCTTTTCAATTACACAAAATTCATTTAAAATGGAAAAATTATACTCATTTGTTGACAGTGAAGAGCTGGGAAATAGAAGCAGAAGAAATTTCTTTTTAAAGTACAACAGTGTTACATTCAGCCAAGACCTGTGAAGCAATGGCAGTGATACTGGAGAGCTGTGGATGTCAACTGATGAACTGTACACTTAGGAAAGAGCACCCAGGTGGAGAAAAAATTGGGGTCACATACTCCAAGAATAATGATTCAGTTTCTGCTACTAACAGTATGAGTAGCAGTCAAGAACAGAAGTGAGAGTAACAGTAAGAGACAAAGGAAGGAAACAAGAATGTGGCAAAATGTCATAAAGTCTCAGAGAATGAGCAGACATTATCTAACTCAAAAACAGACATTAAATATAGAGATGCCAGTCCTCTTCAGCCTTCTGTATGTCTCAGCAAAACAGAAGTAGAATATAAAACAAAACAAAAACCTATGCTGGGGGCATAGGTCAAATGGTAGAGCACTTGCATAGCAAGCTCAAGGCCATGTGTTCAAACCCTAGTACCACCAAGAAAAGAAAAACAAAAATAAGTCTGAGAAAACCTGGAAAAGGGGTCAGTTAAGAAAGGACTGCCAACAACAACAACACAGACCCACAACCAGAAGGACTGGTGAAGAATTAAAACCCACATTGCAGAGGGTAAAGATCAGAACTTACCCCAAGGAAAGTAACCAGTTATACATAAGAGAAACCTAGATGTTTCTCCCAGAATGTGTAGAATAAGAAAAACACAGACAAGAAGAAGCCTGTTGTGGTGCCGCCTGCCTGTAATGCCAGGTACTCAGGAGCTGGAGCTCAAGGCCAGCCTGGGCAAAAAGGCAGAGACACCTTGTCTCAAAAAACAAAAGAGCTGGGGATGTAGCTCAAATGGTAGAGCACTTGCCTAGCATAATAGGAGGAGCTGGGTTCAAGTCCTGATTACCTCAAAAAGGAGGAGGAAGAGCAGGAGAAGAAGTAGGAAAAAATTAAAAAGATAGAGAACATAGACCAACCTTAAGAGTTACAGATGCAGAAATATTAAAAGTGACATAAAAATTTTAAGTGAAAAACTACTGATCAAGTAACTTCCCAGGGTACCATTTATTCTTACCTTTCTCCTCTTTTCCCTGCCCTAAAAGTTGACAGGATTTTGAACTTAATGTTCATCCAAGTTATAGTATCAAGGATAACCAATTGTTGCAGACTACTTACTATGATGGAGTTTTGCTCCAAACATGTTTACAAATGAATTTGCTGAACCCTGGCGCTACAAGCCAGGTGATAATATTATTCCATCTTGCTAAAGAGGGAAGGGAGGCACATGAAGATTAAGTAACCTGCTTGACACTGGAGCCATCCAAGCTGACAAACATGGCACAGTGCTGCCATTCCTGTCCCTGTATTCAAAGCTATTACTCTTCATATCTGTACCCGTAAGTGGTATCTGTCTTTGTTGATTTATAAATTGTGTTTAATTGAATTTCTGAACCTGTTTATTAATCCTCCCTTAGAGAGCAACCTTTCTGAGAAAAGCTGTCCCAAGATAGGATGGATAACATTTGCAGCTTTGAGCTTTGTACAGACATTAATGAGAAATCGGTCCACCCCCTCAGGAGTGTGTCAGGTACATTTGTGCAGCCAGCTCAGGCCAGGTGAGCTGCCCTCTCCCTCAGTCTGTGCTGTGTCTGCTCATGGTTCCCAGCCCCCACCTGTTTTCTACCACTTCACTCTTAAACTCCTTGCGCTGATTCATCTGTCTGTCATTTGGAGCGGCTCTTCCAGTAACTTCATCAAGTCCAAAATCGAAGCATTTCCTGAGTCCTTTCATGCTTTCTCTCTTGCTTCGCATATCCAATAGCCATTTGTATATGAAATTCCTGAGTTTCAGTGTTTTCACTGAAACTTTTTCACCATTTTTGCAATTTACTGTGCAGAGAAGAAATCTGACACCCTTGAGTCAGCTGCCTAGAATGGTGTCCAGTACACAATAATCCTGAGCAGACAAAGACACTATTTTCTAATTCTCCATACTAGTGAGCAGGCTTATTGGGTTTGATGGGAAATTAAACTCTTTACAAAAGTCAGGAGGATAGGGGAAGAGAGAGAGGGAGGGAGGAAAGGGACAGGAGGGAAAGAAGGGGTGAGATAAAGAGCAAGAGAGGCTGAGAATGAATGAAAGCAGAATCGGTTGGACCAGTGAGGCTTTTTGGCTTGCCTGACAGCTCAGTCAGGCCACACAGACCTTGGATGTGGTGTCCAAACAGGAACTGAGGAAAGGGCAGGCTGTGTGGAGCAGCAGAGTGAGCCAACTCTTGCCTGCAGGTTGAACACAGTAAGGGACATGCCATCTGCTCAGCGCAGAAAACATACTGCACGTGGCCTTGTTCACATCTGGCTTGTCCTGAAGTCTCCTCTCCTATAGCCAAATGGGAATAATGAATCACACTGGACAACTGTGTTAAAAGCCAGCTAAGTTACAGGCTGTGTGTCTCCCAAAGAGCGTCCCAGACAGCATTAGAGTGGGGAGGGCAGGAGTGGGGGACACCGCCTTGTAAATGCCCATTAGAAGCCACTGTGGAATGCTATGCAAGCTAGAGCAGCTTGCGTGGTACATGCTCCATGCACACTCGCCCTGCCTCTTCAATATTTATAAGCAGCGTCTTCCCTTTCTCCTTGGCTTTACGGTATAGATGTCTGTGGGAAGAAGAGCTTCTCCTGGTGACAGAAGAACAAGGTGTCCCAGAGCTTTCCATTGTGACGAGAGGCTATGGAGCCCTTGGTGCCATAGAAAAGGTAAAGGAAAACACCCACTTCTGAGGTCCCCTCCTTTCTCAGAAACCAGGTCTGCAGTGCATCCTTAGGATTGGGCATTTGGGGGTATGATGCCTGAGCATCATATTTCCCAGTTAACCCAAGGGTCCCCTTGCTCCCCACATGTAGGACCTAAGACCTTCTTCCTCTTTTTATATTTAGGAGCTCTATTCCATGAAGCAAACACTCATGTTGATTAGATTTAGTTGAGCACCTGGTCTCTGGCATGTACAGCTCAGCAACAGGGAGGTAACAAGTTTTGCCACCTTTTATCCCAGGCCCTTACAAAGCAGATGACTTCTGTTTAACCAATAAAACAAAGGTGGGAGGAAACTGCTCCAAAATCATCAAATTAGCACGGGCAGACCTGGGATGCCTGTTTTCCATCCACTCCCACAAGTCAATTTTCCCTGAGGAAAGGATGCTATCTCTGGGCCGGAACTTGCTTCCCAGCTCTGGAATTATGCCAAATGCAGAGGATGATGGTAGGGACACACTCCAAAGTATTGCACTCCCAAGAATGTGGCTCTTTCTATGAACACAGTCTTCTGTACTTTTAGGTTTTGTTTTATGCAGGCCATAAAATTACCACTTTGTGATGAGAAAATAACAACAACAATAACAAATCAAAAAGAAAACTAACTTCAATCCCTCTCCTACCTCCATTCCCAGGCTTTGGATTAACCATGTTTGATAACATCATGTGTGGTTTGAAATGTTTTCAGAGGTGCAGAAATAATGTACTCACCTAACTACCTGTTCATCCTGCTCAGTGAAACAAACATCCCTCCCCTTCCAAAAAAAAAAAAAGTGTCCTCTAGGACAGGGATTAGAAAATTATTTTCTCTGAATGTCCAGACACTAAGTATTGTAGTTTTATTGAGCAGAACAATCTCTCCCAATTATCCAACTTAGGCATTAATAAAGGAAGCAACCACAAACAATGTCATGCAAATGAGCAGGCACGGTCATGTTTCAATAAAACTTTATTTTAAAACATAGATATTAAGTTGGCATTCTTGTTTACAGAACACAGTTTGCTGATCAGTCTTATAATTAATATTATGTGCAGATTCCAATGAACATATGAGAAAAGAGGTGCGTGCCATACAACCCTTCAAAGGATCTACTGTTTACCACACAGGCCATTTGGTAAAGAGAGGGATGACACATGGGCATCATTAAGGATGTGGGCATCTGATAATGTTGCTCCTTGCAAAATGTCTCTTCTACTAAACTAGCTAAAACCTCAGGAGAAGCACACCTCAAAACCAGTGGCACCCAATGGTTCCTACATTTCACAAGTCTTTAGGAACATGAGATCTTTGGAAATATGTCTTGATAGCTATAGAAATTTATGAGCACCTATCAAGAAACTGAAAGAGAAGTCTTGAGACATTGTTCTGGTATGCCAATTCCTGGGCATTTAGGGAGTTGAGAAGAATCATTTCTTCACTAGACCCAAAGAATCTGCAAATGATTCTCTGCAGAATCCTAACAACAACCAGGAAATCACCAGTCTTGCCTATGACACATGTGGCATAATATTCCTGTCCCATTAATATACATTAGTACTTCAGCAAAACCAAACCAAACAATACACAAACACTGCTTGTCCTCATGAAAAGAGAAGGGCACATTTTCTTCTTTATTGGAAGGAGAGGGCTGCAAATGAAGACAGAGATTGGGTGAGAGAACCATGAAAGTGGGACAGGCAGAAGGACTAACAAAAGAATGAAAACATGAAACAAAGAGATTGCTTACACAAGAGTTACTAATGAGCCATTTCCTACGTGTTCAGGAATCTTTTCCTAATGCAAACAGCAGCAGTAGATCAAGGGTGATTGACAGCCTAGAGCCACCCAATACAGCAATCAGAATGACAGGCCACATTATCCTTTAGGGAATTCCTGGCTTCTGCTGGGGAGATCCAGTAGAGACCTTCCAGAAGCAATATGAATCATTTTGCCATTGGTGAGGGGGTGTTTAAACCCTTTGATCCTGCCCATATTCCAAGTACCCAGCCTTGTTGGGAACCACAGTTGCTCACTGTCAGGATGATCTCCAGACTAAGAACCCACCAATCACCTAATGTAAAGGGATATAAGAAACCCAAATATACAACCCACTAATAAGAAAGGAGGAAGAAGCCAACCATAAACACAACTATTGCTGGCTCATGGCACTGGGATCCCCCAACTAACACTTTAAATTTCATGCACTGCATTAAGAAAAGCAGTCACATTGACAATGGCCCAAGGTGAGATGGCCCCACCACTCACTTCTGGCCAGGTACACAGCTGGACATTCACACTTACATAGACTTCTTCCTTTCCCCCAACATATTTAAGAAGCAGGTGTAATCATCTTCATTTAGTAAATGAAGGAACAGAAGTTAAGTCACTTACGGTCATAATCAGAGAGAGGAAGAATTTGAACCCTCGCCTTGCTGGCACTAAAGCATCCCTGTGTCTCACTCACACTGAACACAAACTGTGACTAACCATGAACAGGACAAGGAAGGTTGAGGACCATGAGACTCCTCGAAAAAGATAAGATTCCAGGTGCCTGAACAGAATGGTCAAAGGATGAGAAAAAAATCAGTATTAAGGCCAAAATGACTGTCATGTGTATGAAAAAGCCCAGAAAATACCCTGCTTCCCTGCTCTCCCAACATCCATAATCGTATGCTGTGCCGTTCCCTGGAAGTGCAGACATACATAGGGTAGCACATTAATCCTTCAAACACTAACAGATGCTGGCAGGGATTTAGACTGGAATGTATTTACAAAGTGACAAATTATGTTCCATATTATAGACAGAGAAAAAGAGCACCCACAAACAGGCTGATTAATGTCAGCTACAGTCACGACAAACGGTTTATTTTTATTATACTGTAACCACAAATGTTTTTTTTTTTTCTTTCTTTCTTTTTTTTCTTTTTTTTTTCCTTCAGGAGTCCCAAAGATTTATTTGTTGCAGGGAAAAAACAAGATTATATATGACACAAAGTAATAACTGTACAATCAGATATTCCGGGCACCCTGCCCTCCTGCAAGGCGATCCAGGCTACACAGTGCTACTAAAAATGTTACCTTCTCCAAAGCCCAGTAAATGGTTAATAAATCAGAACTGATACAGTACCTTGTAATTAGATACAGCCTTACTTCTCAGACTCACCAATTGATAGACAATATCCAATTCCCCCTGTTAGTGGCTATCAGGAGGGTAGAGTAACTATTAAAATAAATTTAATGGCTGTGACAGGTAAGAAAATATACTAGAAGCTAAAATGTAATCAGTATATCCAAACCCCAAATAAAATTATAGTCTTGGCTGCAAACAGGATCCTTGGAAAGGAGGGATACGGATGGACAGCGACATCCACAGGGCAACAGGGGCCAGTTTGCCAACATTAGCGAAACACTCAACTTGAAAACAAGACTGAGAAGGGGATTTGGCCTGGGGCCAAGAGAAAATGCTCACATTCAGGATTAAGCAACCCTTCTGAAGAAGGCCTTTTATCCACTTGGTCAGGTGGATGGGGGCAGGGGGAGAGGGAGTGCAGGTGCTCTTGGGTTGGTGTCACAGCAAGATGGCAGAAAGATGGGTTGGAGTCCACATCACTGGCTCTCAACCAGGGTCTGCCCCAGACTCCATTTGTGACATTGACCAAGTTCCTGCCTTCCGTGCCCCACCCAGGGTCCCACCTTCTCAGATGTAAGTTGAGGCTCTGGCTCCCATGGGGGCACTGTGACCTCACCTGCAGTCTCATTTCATTTTTCTAACAGGTGGAAGGATGGCAAATATAGGAGAGTTACTAGAAGAAAATGAACAGGGGAGATCAACTATACTCAGGGAACATTTTACTTCCAGGACACTCGAATACATATTTCTTATAATCATTGCAAGTTAAAACACCCCACACCTGCACACACTCCAAAAGCAAGATATTAACGGATATGCAACTGACAGGAATTTGTAAGTATATTTAAGGCACAGACCACAGAGTATAGTGAAGCTATCTCTTTCTAATATGCACACACACTCCAGGAACTACTGGCTGGAAAGGTATCTCTCTTTGCCTGATAATGGAAAACATAGGTTTGGGGATGGAGTGCAGGGGAAAATAGGGCTGTCAGCTCTGCTACCCTTGGGATGGAGGCTCCAGCACTGCCCAGTGCTGGGAAGGAAGGCGGGGTCTATCAAGGACACCTTACCTCCCTGGGCAACCATCAGAACAAGACGTAATTTGGACTCCACCACTTCCACTGTGCACTGTGACCTCTGTGACATTAGAGTCTCACTTTTCCCACCTTTAAAATCATAGTATTAGTCTGACCATCACAAGCATACCTTGGGAACATCAGATAAAATAATGCTTGCCGTGTCTAGGACCCAGCATCTGCCAGGCGTTGCAGAAGTTGCCGAGGAGCCCCATCTACTGCTTTTAGGCTTGAGCAGCTTTTAGGAGCCCCCAAGCCCCTACCCATCCTACCAGAAACAAATGCCTTTCCAAAAGCTCAAAGACTCTTCCATGTTTCCCACGCCATCACTACACTGCTGTATCTTCTCTCTTGCTTTTTCCAGACACAGGAGAGACAAGGACAAATCTGTCACTAGCATGCTCCCATGAATTCCCCACTACCCCATAGGCCAACAGGTTTCAAATACCAGACCTTCCTCTGCACATGAGCACACTGTCACCAGCCTATGGCAACAATAAAGGTGGGTTGTGAGAAGGAAACACCACTCAAGCAGAATGGCTGTCATCTCAGAAGCCAACCAGAAGGGGCTCCTCACAGTACAAGCTGGAGTGACTCGAGCAACAGAATAAATGACAGCGGTGTTTGATGGTGAGCTGAAGGATAAAGTGAACACCTCTGAACTTACCACTGTGTAAGTAAATTAATTGAATCATAAATAAATGTTGGGGAAGGGA